ATAATATTTATTGCTATTATTTTTTTGTGTTGTTTTGTTTGGGTAATATATCTTTCAGCCAATAGTGATCACGTCAGGACTATGGGATTAAGGAGAGGTCCGAAGCGAGGATAATAGGAGACCTCCATGATGGGAGACCTCCACTAAAACGAATCTAACCCCGCAAAGAGTCGCTTCTTCGATGGGTTTGTGCCGGCGCTGCCGCGGAGTCTCGCCCGGGCGGCAGCGAAGCTGGCTGACGGCTGCCGGTCCCAACCGACCGCGGCAAGATGGGGCGCTGCATGTTTTCAGGATGAAGACATGCGTGGGGACAGACATCCGCTAACGTTTCCTCATTCGCCGCATTCTCCTGATTCCTCTCGCTACACCACGCCACTGTGGACCGACCTGCGTCCTCTCCCCACTCGTCGCTTCCCCACGACTCCTCTCGCTACACCACACCTCTGCGGGCCGACCTGTGTCCTCTCCTCAATCGTCACTTCCTCACGAGTCCTCCCGCTACACCACTTGCCTGCAGGCCGACCCGTGTCCTCTCCTCACTCGTCGCTTCCCCACGACTCCTCTCGCTACACCACTCCCCTACAGGCCGACCTGTGTCCTCTCCTCACCTGTCGCTTCCTTACGACTCCTCTCGCTACGCCACGCCTCTGCGGACCGAGCTGTGGCCGTCGGCTGTGAGCTGGCCATGTACCGTTCCGGTGGGAGGGTCGCCGTAGCGCCCGTACAAATTCCGGAGAGGAGTCCCTGTGCAGGCTAAGCCCGGAATGGAGGTCTCTCATGATGGCTGCAGCATTGCCTCATCACTCATCTCCATTATCCACTCCATAGCACTGGAAAGGCGAATGCTGGCCGAGAAGGCCCTGATCCAAACCAAACGAAAAGAGAGAAAGGGTGGATTACCTATCCTGGTCTACGGCCAACTAACTGCATCCGCGACAAGGTTTGAAAAGGGCCATATAAGCTTCCTGCCAATTTCCGGCGCCCCATTAAGTCGGACAGTGCTGAGCTGACTTCGTTATATATAGACAAATCATTCATCTACAGACTTATACAACGCACGGCTGACTAGAAGCCCTTATCTGCCCTGGTCACCAGACCCTGACCACACCGCTTTAAAAACACAAAGTCTGCGTGTCCACTTCACGTATTCCGCTGCGCGTAGCCTGCTGCACCAGTGACCCAGCGACGGGTTTATGATAAGCGATCCGTCAATAGGACGTACATCACACACACAGGCACGCGGGTATACTTATGCAGGTTTAACGGGTGTAGCGTTCGGACTTGCCTCCGGCTTGCAATCATGTGTTTAGTGACGTCAATTTCATGGATCATTCGTCGCCGCTGTGATCGTAACAAGCCGGCTGAAGCTGCGAGGTCACAGCTGATGCCGGCATAAGGTTCAGGGCACTAGTTTGCGCTCTTTGGTACCATCTGCGGCCACAAGAAGCCTTGTTAAAAGTTGTCTTTGATATGCTATATTTCAAAAATTTGTAACACTCTGGCCGATGATACGTCATCAAAAAACGATGGCGTAAAAATGTGTAACTCTTAACACGTCATCGATGCTTCCATAAAAGCATCGCTGACGTGTTACCAGTTACACACAGCACCAGCCACACACACCAGCGCCTCACACACTACACTTCAGCGCATACGCTGAAGCACTCGCTCGAAAGCTCTCACCTACCGCGTAGCTATCTCCTTGACACCATTCATGCAAGTAGGTCAAATGATGGTCAACAGAGCTCAGCACATCGTGAGATAGAGTACACCGTGACACCCCGTGCGCACAAGAGGCGCCGGAGCCGGCTATCAACCCGACAGCAAGTACCCACGCAGCGTGTGCAAACACCACTCCACCTTCAATGTCTACGTGCCCTAGTTTTTAAAGAGGGTCACGTCTAAAGCACCCCGCCACTTCTCGACATGGCAGACATTGGTATCTTCCGCATGACAGCTATAGACGAGACCCGCGGCCGGGAGCTGGCCGCCCAGAATAAGTATATCCTCATTTGGCGAAGAACCTTTTTGAGCCCATATCCTTCGTGGCTTTCGTTTTGCAAGAACCCATTTGAACCCCTTTGAGCCAATTTCGCGAAGAACCCATTTCGACCAATTTCTTGACCAAATTTACAATGCTGCATGCACGTTGCTGAGTCGTAGTAAAAAGAAGGTAAAAAGAAATGACTAGCAGTTCAAAGTAATAGGCGTACCTCAACTTATCGTGATGGCTTGATGCGTTGATGACTCAGACATCAACGTGCAAATGTTTTTTTCTGCAATATATTGTATACCGTGCCGTACGCCGTATGGTCACCCCTCTGGACAAAGCCCCGGCTACAGCACTGTCAGAGCTGAGACATGCATTCCGTTGATCTGCTGTTGAGCCACAGTACATGAGCCACATTCGCGCTCGAGCCCCCTGATGGTTGATTTAGACAAGCCTGCCGAAGGGCTGTAAGCGGTCCCAAGAAGTCCGGGCGCCCACTTAGCCGACTTGGATGGCCACAATGCCTAACAGGGGGACCGGTGTCGGCAAGGGCCCCGAGTCAACCAAAGAACGTCCCTGTCCCTGAACAAGGATAGGTCCGGGACCTCGAACACCACAGGGCCTCTCGGGCCTCTTGCGTTGGTCGGAATCTCTGGCAATGCAAGACGACATCATAGTTTATGATGTGAACCTACAATGGGACAATGGAAGGCCCCTGTGTCAGTCAGGACCCAGCACCGAACGGAGGGTGTGTGGAGGTGGGGTGGGGTGGGAGGAGCCTCCTCCGCCTCATTTCAACCAAGGGACCATAGAGCCAAACTGGGGTATCCGCGCCAATTACTCGACTACCGGCGGCGATAAAGGGATACTGTCGTTTCAATGGGGGCTCCTGCGTCGACCCAGGACCAGATGCCCAGGTCAGAGTGCCTCCCGCGTTAGGGAGGGGAACAATGCATGATGTGTCCCTCTAAGGGCCTCTTGATCGGTCACCAGAATGACAGCCGGTAGATACCCCGCGCTGGGGCGGAATGGCCCCGCAGTCATTGACCGGAAACGATGATATGCTCTAGTGGCTTCTTACACGGAAAAAAGTTGCGGGGCCTGTTTTGAAAAAATGTGCAACCCAGCAGACCAAAACAAGGTCAAAATGAAACACGTCAAGTCATGTTTGCCCAAGAACGTTCAACCTTTTGCCGAATCGACTTTTGAAGCAAATTACGTACAAAGTCCTGAGCCTGCGCGTTCGCAGTCTAAGCGAAGAACAAAGATGGCTGGCGCTGCAGCTGCTGTAAAGCCGGAAGCATTGACCGTTTCAGATGAAACCAAGTGGCCGAAACAGAGCGTGCGAGGACGACAGCCGTGAAACCTGAAAGTCTTTAAGAATCAGATCGTGCTGTTCAAAGATTAGGATGGGGCGTATGTTTCGCATTAATAGTTTTGTTAGCTTTGAGGTTATAGTTTTGAGGTTACAGTTATATTTGAGGTTAAAGTTGTGGTTTTGAGGCTGTCCTTTGAACAGATTAACAGCCACAGCAATACGACGGAAGGAGATTCCTCCCAAACTCTGCCAGTTCCACCAACCACCACTAGATTTCAGCACCATTTCGCGGTGTTGTCGAGGCTAATCCGTTCCTATCATCAATTTAAATGTCACACTTGTAAAATACGCTCCAGGACTAGCTTTTAAATGAACGAGTTGACGTTTCAAGGTATTTAATGGTACTTTTTCAAGTAGGCCATCATTTTCGTCCGCACGTTAAGAACCATTTTTATAAGCCGTAAAGATGATGCCGCACGGCCTATGGAGACTGCAACGCCGGGCGGAGGGGTTTTGTTTCTAAGACTCGCTAGCACGCGTATTCAAAACTCGGTTATATTTTTCTCACGAATCGATTCGGACTGGAGGCTGAAAATTCCCTGGAGGTGAAAATTCTTTGCATCCCATTTCCATCTGCAATTTACGCTCGTGGGGTCATCAATATCTCTGTGGAACCGAGTTAAAAAAATGGCGAAGAATATGCATTCTTTCAGCTGAAGAACAACCCACTGGAAAATTATGAAGGGAATAGCGCTGGCGGCTTATTCCATGGAGACATCTAACGCTCGCTTCAATCCGTTTGTTGACTTCGAAATACAAAGACCGTTGCATGCTCCGGCGGTTGTGGCATCTGTCCCAGTAAAAAGAAAAAGTAAAAAAGCGAAGGTAATTGAGTCCCGTCGAAATTGAGTAAGCCGTACTCGGTGAACTCATTTTGGAGAGGGGCTTTCACCATGAAGGGCCAGTGTTGACAAAGGGTCAGCCGTGACTCATTTACGAAAACTCTGGCCGCGACCCTGAGCTTTTTCCGACGTGGAACGAGGGAGGAGGCGTTGAGACCTTGTAACGCCACACTCAGGCGTAGTTGCAAGTGCTGTCGAAATCTCAACGACCCATCTTACAACGCACCCGGGGGGAGAACCCTGCTCAGGTCAGGGCTTATTTGAGCTGAGCAGGGAGAGCTCACACTGGGTAACTTATGCAGTGGCGTAGCGAGGATTTCGCCCAGGCCAAATGGGGTCTTAGGAGGCTGTTTTAATGTGTCTTTCTTCATTGCGATAGGGCCCTGGCTTCGTGTTTCGAAGAGGTTATGGACTTGGGAACGTAAGTTAATGCCTTAGAGGCCCTTTTTAATGTTTCAGAACCGTGCAGAGTACAGGCATCTCAAACTGTTCGAAAGTAGACGGGTCTCCGTCGTCGAGGGCTTCCTCCACATCCAAGGGCGGAGTGCATGGTCCTCAAATTCTTCCACTGATTACACCATTAAACCGGTGCGTCACCAGAGAGAAGGGGTTTAAAGATATCCCCAAAACGCGCCTGGCTTAAAATACCCCAAAATCATCTATGGACGACCAAACGTAAAGAAAAGTCACTAAGAGCTACCAAACTCCAGCCTTGTAAGAAGACAACACTGCGCAGGTGTGGCATATCTGGATGACGAAAAGTCCACGGGAAGCCTTGGATGTTCGAAACGTTAATTCGTAAGGGTTGTGATAGCATGCGAGCCATAGTTGGTTGACTCGTGCATCTGTTAGACTGGCAAAGGACTGCGCGATTTTAAAAGCAGACCAGAGGTCTTAAACAAACGGTGAAAGGGTCATTGTTGCTGCGTTTTTTTTTAATGTGTGCTTCCCCGGCGACCTCGTAACATTCAGCATGAAGCGGTTGGCAGCTTGCCTGTGCCTTTGGATCCTGTGTGTGTTTCCAGTTGTTACTGTAGGCATTGAAGAAGAGGAGGGCGTCTTGGTTTTGAACAGTGACAACTTTGATAAGGCTGTGGAAGAAAATAAGCTCTTACTGGTGGAATTTTGTAAGTAGTCCAGCCATAGCCATATGCCATATGTTGTTCGGCACTTGGTTCCCCACTATAGAGGCTATATGTTTTGTTATCAATGCAGGCCCTGTTTGACTAATTTTGTGTTGCTTTGCTGGTTAACATTGTAATGTATGGCATTTACAACCTGAGCTGGATTGAGCATTGAATGTATGTAGGCAAGCAATGCATTTAGAAGGAAGTACTGCCTTTTGTGTATGATAGTTAACCTTGATGGTGACATTAATACCAATGCATTTTACACCATATGCACAGAGCCTTGCAACTATGAGATGTTTATAAATCATTCATGATTTACACAAATAATGTTCTGCTGAGGCAGGTACTTGCATGGTCTTACACAGTAACTTAACTCTTCCTACATTTTTGATGCACTGTTGGGTCATGATATGACACTCAGTGTCAGTTCATTTAACAAGAGAATGCATGCAGAAAACTTAGTGCATCATTCATTAAGTGATCAATCAACATCAGAATATCAGTCCTTTATTAGCCACACAAACATTCAGCACACCATGGTGAGGAACATCACCATTCTTTAAAGCATGAACATACATTTTATCAGTTTCAGCCATTGTTAATATCAACCAGAGGAAGTCATACCACAATGTCAACCAGAGGAAGTTGTACCACGAGTAACACCACCACAAGAACCCACACCACCACACCACACACCACACCACTAGATCATCCACTTTGTTATTGCCTTCTGAGGACTGTAGCACCACCCCATCTTGACTTCACAGATGCACCCTGGTGTGGCCACTGTAAGAAGCTGGCGCCGGAGTTTGCGCGCGCGGCCCAGACGCTGGCCGCGGAAGGCGTGGCGGCGCGGCTGGGCAAGGTGGACTCGACACAGGAGCGGCGGCTGGCCGACAGGTTCGGCGTGCGCGGCTACCCGACGCTGCGGCTGTGGCGGGCCGGCCGCGACTCGGAGTACACGGGTGGCCGAAAGGCCGAGGAGATCGCCGCCTGGCTGCGCCACCGCGTCGGCCCGGCCGTGCGCACGCTAGCCACCGTCCAGGAGGCGGCCGCCTTCCTGGAGACGCCGCAGGTGGCCGCCATCGGCTTCTTCAGCGACCCGGCCAGCCCGGCGGCGGCCGCCTTCCTGGAGTGGGCCGTCGATGAGGAGACGATGCCAGCAGCAGTCGCCTCGGCGGAGGCCGTGCGGAGCGAGTACGGCGCCGACGACGGCAGCGTCGTCATGTTCAAGAAGGTGAGCGCGGCGTCGTGATGCACTGGAGACTCGAGTTGGTGTGTGCACCGCGCGGTAAATAAGGTGATCAGACCGCTACAAATCATTTTTGGTCGCACAGTCAACATGCTGCATCATCTCTTCCTGATTTTTCACTCGGCTGCACTCTAATCATTGGGCGACTTGAACTGCTGCAGCCCAGAGGAGCGTTCATTTATGCGCTATCAATGATAATGAGCTTGGGATTAGCACTATGTCGATTGCTGGGTCGCGTTATGCTGTCATATGTCCCAGTCACCTACTGCTTCGTGGTGGGTCGTCTGACCTGGGTGATCCCCGATGACCCCGGCGGCCGTCGGTGTGTTCCGTTGGTGCGGCCGTGACGCCCTGACCCCGCCGCAGTACGACGAGCGGCGTCACACGCTGGCCGCGCCTGGTGACGTGGAGGCGCTGCGCTCCTGGGCCGCCCAGTTCGCGCCCCCGCTGCTGCTCGAGTTCGCCTCGGACACGGCCGACGCCGTGTTCGACAGTCAGCTGCCGGGCGCGCTGCTGCTGTTCCTGCGCCGCGGCAGCGACCGGTTCGAGGCGCTAAAAGAGGCTGCCCGCTCCGTGGCCGTCGACTACCGCGACCAGGTGAGCCAGACTGCACCACTAAGCAGGATGTACTGACGACGGCCACGTGAGCCAGACTTCACCCCCAGCTGAGCCGGACTGCACCGCCAGGTGAGCCCGACTGCACCGCCAGGTGAGCCGGACCGCACCCCCAGGTGAGCCGGACTGCACCGCCAGTTGAGCCGGACTGCGCCGCCTGGTGAGTCGGACTGCGCCGCCTGGTAAGCCGGACTGCACGGTCAGGCGTTTCAAACGTCCCGGCCAAATGTACCGCTTGCAATGCTGGTACGCCGACCGGTCGGAGTGTTGCGACGACTTTTGTACACGGTTGCGACAAGCTGCGAACTGAGATGTGGGCGGTTGTAAAAAAAAAAAACATGCGAGGAGTCGTCGTTTCCTGAATCCTGGCCCGTGTCTGTGACTGCTCCCCTCCTTATATCTTCGCGTTGGTGTCAAAATGAAGGATACACTGCAGCGAACATCTCTCCTGATGTCGTGCGTGGCGTCCCGAGCGTTAAAGAGCCAACTCGACCTGGTGCATGTCATTTCACGGGCGAACTAGCTGCTCGTGAACGAGCGCGTCCGTTCACGCGTTCACGTTCGTGCGCTCGTTTTCACGCATTTGAACGGCACGGGTCGAGCGGTGCCCCGCCCCTGCCGTGAGTGTTGGCCGCCAGTCTCGGCACCTGACGCGCCGTCTCCCCGCCCGCCGCGCCCCAGCTCCTGTTCGCCTGGCTGGACGTCGACGACGAGTCGATGGGCCGTGTGATGGAGTTCTTCGGCGTGCGGCCGGAGCAGGCGCCGGCCGTGCGGATCGTGCGCCCCAGCGACATGGGCAAGTTCCGGCCGGCCGGCGGCGAGGTCGACGGCGACGGCATGCGCCAGTTCGTCGCCGCCTTCCTCGCCGGGAAGCTGAAGGTGAGGCGACCACCACCTCCGCTCCTGTGGAGACGTCTACGTGACCCGCATGGGCAGATGGGAGTGTGGGAATGTCTTGTGCTTTGAGGTTTTATCCCGCTTGATATTGCCCTCACAGTTCACGAAGTGGCTTTATGACAGGTTGCCCCGATCCAGAAAAAACTTTACTGCATGTGCCACGCTTTGCACTTTTCTTGATTCGACCTGCCACGTGATGCTAATTTGATCAGTGCTATGTTGCTTCAGATCATTTCTGTAATGTGAACTGCCCGAAATTAACTTTGATGGCATTGCACACGCTGTGAAATGCAACCTTGAATTTTACATTGCAGTTTTGGCCGTTGCTTTCCATTCCAGGCCGCGACACCAATAACCCAACACTGATGTGAATTTCGCTTCAGCCACCTATTTTGCCGCGCAACGGTCTCACCACATTTTGGTCGGCTTCGGCACCTCACAAACTTTTCATTAAAGCCCACTGTGTTTAAATAATTTAAAATGTCGGCCACTGACCAAGTTCGTTCCGCTCGCCGTCCGTTGCACACCAAAACGTCAATCAGGAGCAAGCGTGTTTGTGCCCGGCATAAAACGCACAGCTGTGATCATGAGCTTGCAAGGATCGGAGCGCAGACGACGCGCAAGCGTGATCACGAACGGAGAGGACGGGACGGCCGGTGACGCCGCACCGCTGCTGCAGCCGCACCTGCTGAGCGACGAGCGGCCGGACGACTGGGACGCGCGGCCCGTCAAGGTGCTCGTCGGCACCAGCTTCGACCAGGTGGTGCTGGACAGGAGTCGCGACGTGCTGGTGGACTTCTACGCCCCGTGGTGTGGTCACTGCAAGAAGCTGGAGCCCGAGCTGGACAAGGTCAGCAGGCGTCGCCGTGTCCGCCGGCCCGTGCCGTGCGTTCGCCGCACGGGTGTCGCTCGACTCGTCCTCTCCCCCAAAGCTCACTTCTGTCGCGTGCAAATATGGGATGTGCTTCAGGTTCGCGTATTGTGAGCATATTGTGGTGACTCTACCAACATTTCCCCACAGCAAAGTTGGCTGGGGCCCTCAGATGTGGATAGTGCAACAAAAGCCACCCTTTTGGTCTGTTCGGCCCGTCTGTGTACGGCGGGTTGCATGCACTGTGCACGTCAGTCAATATAATATGGTACAGGGTCAGGGCACGTCCCCCCCCCCCCCCTCCCAGCGAAGGCCGATCATGAGTGCTGCTGGCTTTCCTTGTTACATCCCGTATTGCACTTACGTGAGCCCACATTTTTAGTAGTGACGTCTAAGTGCAGGGGCGGGGTACCAGAGAAAGGACTTTGGGGCGGGGTCAGGACAAGATCCGCCCTATCAGAGGTTGCAGTCTCATTACGGTCCACTTGAAACACCGCGACGCGCCTGGCTTTTCTAAGCTAGCACCGCGAGATGGACATATGGGGGTCCCCGCCGCGGGATCCTGCCGGAGGATCTGCGGGATCGTCTTACCTGCCGAAGAACAGCGCGGCTAGCACGGCTAGTGCCTCCGATGTCCCCGGAGCCGGAGTACGCAGTGTGCACCGAACGTGACTCGGATGTTCAGACCAAGGCAGCCTTACTTTACAGGAATCAAGGTATATACAGAACCTATGCCACATGCAAACCAAGATACCTTTACTATGTAGGTTTAGCTTCAGACAGTCGCTTATCGACTGGCTGCCATCGATTGACGCTGGTGGCTCTCCGAGTGGCACAGATGCTATGTGCACATGACTCTTCGCTGTGTTCCTGCTATGTCACTGTCCCCTCAGTGGCACGAGGTCCACAAGGCTGGCAACCTGACGCCCCGCTCTGCCATCAGCTCGGCGAGAAATACAAGGACTCGAAGACGGTGCTGATCGCCAAGATGGACGCCACGACGAACGAGCTGCAACACACGAAGCCGCGCAGCTTCCCCACAATCAAGATGTGGAAGAAGGACACGAACGAGGCACGGGACCACGGCGCTCCGCGCGCTGGACTGCCGCTCCTGGAGAGGCTGACCCTCCAGCTATTCTTGCCTGCCCCAACACGAGTCCCACCCACGGCAGCTTCCTCCTGTGATAGTCTGTGAGAGCTTCGCAACCACTGATTGGTCCGAATCCGGATAGTTAACGGGAGCGGGGCTGACCCTGACCCTGTGCCCCGACACTACGCTGCCGGGTCCGCGGGGACGCCCGGCTGCAGCGGCTGTAGGCCGTGTGACGTGTGTTAAGGACGTGTTACGTTACGTGTGATTACATCAGTATCAGTATGGTCCGCGCCGTCCTGCCTCTGCCGTTCCCCAGCGCAAGCTGCGCACTTGGGCTTGGAGCGGCCGCCGGCCGCCGTACCCCTCAGCCCTTGTTGTTATTGATGCTGATGATGATGATGATGATGATGATGATGATGATGGTGATGACGATGACGACCTGGGCTTTGGAGCGCGCCGACTACAATGATCATGTGTGGGGCCCAGCCCTCTGACGGCCGGCTGCTCGGCAGGTGATCGAGTACAACGGCGAGCGCACCGTGGGCGGCATGTCCAAGTTCATCGAGACGGCCGGCGAGTATGGCCGAGCGCCGCCCGAGGACGAGTACGACTACTACGATGACGAGGTCAGCCCGGCGGAACCGGTTTACCGGTTGTCAGCTGGTTTGCCGTCGGTGGCGGAACGCGGCCGGTGCCGGTAGCGGAACCAGTTTGGTCAACAAGGAACGGGGCGAGAATCTGGGAGAGGAGACGGCCTGATCTGATCGGCTGACGGCTGATCCCTTGAGGAAAATTTCCCCAGCTTGCCTGTAGTGCACTGCACACCTTAGCGGTCAAGCACTCGTTGCTCTCAACACGGAGCAGCTAGTGGAGTTTGGGGCACTGCTTATATTAATGGCTCATGTTGTATATGGTGGATGTGGCGAATAATTTGGTCTGAGGCATGTTCTGTAATGTTTAACTTCCGTTCTTGTGACGCATGTGAAAAATAGGTGCTTGAGACAACCACAGATTCTGTCCCGCCATGCTGGTCGCAGGTGTTGTTCACAAGGCTGACGTATTCAATGACGATGACGATTTCAGCTTACATCACAGAGCAGCTTGTATTGGTCTTCCTGTCGTACACACATTCTGCATCCTTTGTCTGCTTCGTTGGTTTCCGCAATAGCCGATGTTTCCTGCTTTCGCCCCCAGGAATACGGCGAGGAAGACTACGTCGGCCACGATGAGTTGTAACCATCGAGTTCAAGCAGCGTCCGTTGTGGAACAGCAGCTGGGAACTTAGTGACGTCATTGGATGAGACGGAGATTAAGACGAGAGATGTAAAATAATACTATTTTTGCTACGTTTTCTAGCTAAGTCAGAAGTTCTGGGTTTTGCCAGCTTCTGAATGTACAGAGCACATATCCCGCTACGCGTTTTGTGGCGTTAATATTGCCAATTGACTGAACTTTTCTGCTACGATGCAACCGAAGACAAAGTATCTCGCGCACTTGTTTTGTTTACAGCGAGTGACTATGCCTCACCGATGTGGTAGCGGAGATTGTTACGCCCCGTTAACATTGGGACTGCGGGTTTACATGCGGGTCTGCTCCCGTGCCCTGTACATCGAAGCGTCGCACAATGTTCCACCGCCTCAGCAAAATCTGAGGAGCGGTGCCCGCTGCGTGAGCGCGGCGGCGTGGCAATGCCGGGTCAGCAGCAGGGTCGCAGGGTTTTAGTATGATGTGAGAAGATGGTGCGTCCACTCGCCGATGCGTCGGTACATGTCCAGTGATCGCCTGCCCATGACAGCAAGGTCGGGGTGTTTGAGTACGATGTGAGGGAAGGGTGCGTCCACTCGCCGATCCGTCGGTATATGTCCAGTAATTTCCTGCCCGTGATAGTGTCCAGCAGGAAGGAGTGTGCCAGTGTCGAAGGCCTGGATTACGCGCTGGTGACTTAATACACTTCTTCACTCGGAGTTGCCGCTAATACGCTTGTGTTCACCTGGATACTGAACACCTTAACTTTTCCCCACTGCGCTGTCTGTCTGGTATCACATTTCTCCCCTGACGGCAGGTATACCTTCCCTGGGTTCCAAACATTCGTACCTTTTGCATCAAGTTCCTAATGAGCAGAGCAGAAGCAGCTTGTGACACTGTTCCACGTCCCTTGCTAGTGGAAGGTTCGACTTTCTCAGCCGGGATTGCAGAAGCCTGTTGCGCACTTATCCGAGAACCAAAACATCCAACTGCAACGCGACAGCTAGGACGCTGGTACGGTAGCCCGGACACTCTTCACAGCTAGAGTGCCGGGAGGAAACATGGCACGCAATCACACTTTTCGTTTTTTTTTTTTTTGAGCCGATGCCAGCGCATCTGGGCTTTCCGCAGACCTGAACAGTTCAAAGACTGGCTTACATTTTGACAGTTTAGCCACCGAGAACTGCGACGAACGAAATATGTGTATGAAGTGAATGATTGTGACAAAGGAAAGCGCTGAAGAAAATTATGAAAGATCAGGTCTCTGAAAAATCACGCATGGAATGCGGCCAGCTACCCGGGAAAGGTGAGCACAAAGAAAATCGGTTCACCCGCACAACGTGATGTCGGCGCACGCAAAACGCGTTTAACTCGCAACTTAACATGTTCAGTGCAAGAGCACCATACAATCAAGGTATTTGCAACTGGCTCTGTTGCCATCAAATCCGCGTTTTGTCCTGAACCACCTATCGCGTGTTTTTGCCGCTGTATTCATGCCGGTTACGCTAGCAGAGCGGCGGCCGGACAGGCCGGGGGCGTAGCGCACAGCACCGCAGCAGGCCTGCCACCTGGCGTGCCGTTGCAGGGTGCTGCTGGCCGCCGTCGGTGACGCAGCAGCCTGAGAGACTGGGCGGTCTGGCCGAGCCGCGGCGCGCGCCCGCCGCCGCCTTCCTGCGGCAGCCGGGTGCCGCGCGCGAGCGGCTGCTGCGCGCCGGGTCGGGCCGCTGGCTGCCGTGCTGGCGGGCGACGCTGTTCGCGCTGCTGGTGTGCGCGTGCGTGGCGGCCGGCTGGATGCGCACGGCGCCGGTGTGGCGGCCGCCCGAGCCGCCGCCGCCGGCCGAGCGGCTGCGGCGCACCGCCGCCTGGCTGCACTCGGGCCGGCTGGGCCGGCTTCGAGGCCCGCCATTGGTCGGCTGATGACCAGCACCGCGCCCCCGGCGTCCAGCCACCGACCGGGCGCGGTCCACACGGCCGGACGCCAGCACGGAGCCCCCGAAGCTGGCCACGTCACGTCTAGACAGTGAACGGCTAACTGGACAGTGCCGGACAGCTTCTCCCAGCGGCCGGCGGCCGTCATCGTCACGCCTACCATTCGGTCGGGATATCCGTCTTGATAGCTGGTTGGTTACACCACCAGCGTCGTCCTTGGCACTGCATGTTGGCGTGGATGTGCCCGCGCCTGTAAACGAATCCCGAAACGAGTGCGCCCTAAACACTCAGATCCCTCCGCGATTTACTGCTGGCCCCCACTTCCCGGTGCCGCAGGTCCCACAACGACGAGTGCACGTGATAAAAATGGTTTATTTGTAGCCGCCGCCGGGACCGAACGTCGCCCGCTCGCTGCGCCCGCACTCGGCGCGGTGTAACGAGGTAGCCGATGTGCGCTGTCCCTGCTGCCAGCCCCGCGCCGCTTTCGCCGCCACATGGAATACAACTACCCGCCGCGCCGTCGGCTGCTGCTTACAACAGGCGCGCGCCGGCGCCGCCGCCGCCCCCGGGGCTCCGCAACCGCAGAGACACGCGGCTGTGGCGTGGGGTGGACAAAAGTAAACTGAAGCGGCAGGTACAGGGCGGGATACAAAATCGCGGCATCTGGAGAGGTCGCGGCCGCGGCGACGACCTGCCTACCGAGCAGTGGTAACTGGGATACAAAATATGTAAAATCGGAAAGGGGCAGGCTCCTCGCGCCCGGTGTGCGAGCACCGGCTATAGGCCAACGGTAAAGACAAGAGCTGCAAACTATAAGCATTGGCAGCAGAGTCGGGTACAAAATATACAGCGCCGTTAGGGCCAACACAGCTGGACAGCGCACCTCAGCGGGGACCAGACCGCCAGGACGGTCCGGCCGGCCCCGAGCACTGCCCCCCGACGCGGCGCGACTCCGGCGTCCACCAGCGCCGCACCTCCAGCCGGCAGCACGCGCCGTCGCGCCTCCCCGTCAGCGTCGCTCACGCCAGCCCGCCCCCCAGCCGCACGCGCTCGAAGACGACGCTCCTTAAACCGTACGCGGCGCAGCGCAAACACGATGTACAAGCTCTACAGACGGTCGCTTCCTTTGAGAACTGCGCAGCTCTACGAGCGAGCGCCCTACCTCGGCCGGCGCCGCCCCCGTCAGCCGCCGACGCCCTACTGGCCCGGGCTGGTCTGCTGCGCCGCACGGGCCGGCGGCAGACCGGCCACCGCGGCGCCAGGCGACGCGCACGCCACGCAAGAGCGCGGAGACGAAGCGACGGCGCAACATGGGACAATAAAAAACAGCCGAGTCCTTTTGAGACAGGTCAGCGCCCACCCGAGCCACGGCCGCTGCCGGAGCCTGGCGGTCCGCCTGTCGACCGAAGACCGGCCGCCGGCCGAAGCCCGGCCCTGTTCGAGGTCAGACCATCGCCACGCACAGCCGCCCGGCAGCCCCCTTCCCCGCCCCGCCCCGCCCCGGCCCACCCTATTGGAAAATGCGTCTAGCTGACGGCGTGGCTACTGTAACCAGCGCTGGCCGGGGGCCACCTGGGCGTGGCGCATCTGCGTCATGATCGCCTGCAACGGAGAGCAGCACGGCTGGGGTCGCGCGGACCGAATACAGAACTTACAGCTGACGGAGAGTGATAAACAGGAGGATATTGACTACCACGACACGTAAGGCACAGCACTCACAGCTGCCGGAGAAAGACACGGACAGGCGGGTATTGGCTACCACGGTACGTAAGGCACAGCACTCACAGCTGCCGGAGAAAGACACGGACAGGCGGGTATTGGCTACCACGGTACGTAAGGCACAGCACTCACAGCTGCCGGAGAAAGACACGGACAGGCGGGTATTGGCTACCACGGCACGTAAGGCACAGCACTCACAGCTGCCGGAGAAAGACACACACAGGCGGGTATTGGCTACCACGGCACGTAAGGCACAGCACTCACAGCTGCCGGAGAGTGACACACACAGGCGGGTATTGGCTACCACGGCACGTAAGGCACAGCACTCACAGCTGCCGGAGAAAGACACGGACAGGCGGGTATTGGCTACCACAGCACGTACGGCACAGAGCTCAGAGCTGGCGGAGAGTGACAGGCGAGCGGGTACTGGCTAACACGGCACGTAGGCACAGAGCTCAGAGCTGACGGAGAAAGATACGGACAGGCGGGTATTGGCTAACACGGCACGTAAGGCACAGAGCTCTGAGCTGACGAAGAGTGGCGCGGAAGAGCGTGGTCGCAGCCCTCCTGGAGGGTGGGAAAGACCATTCCACCCGGCCCACTCCTTCAGAGAATGAAACATGACGCTGCACTCTGGGAACCCCTTCAAGGAGAAGGACGTCACCCAGGGTCACAGAATCTGTACCCCTGGTCACCGAAACTGCGTCCATCTGGTTCAACCCTTTCGGGACTGAACGCCACTCCTTGCCCGGAAACATTGCTTACCTGGTCCACCCCTTAATAGAGGGACCGCATGAAGCCAGGTCATGGATCTGTTCCTCAGTGATGCCCGCCACCAAGGGCCGCCCTTGTGTTCCCCAGTACAGCGCTCCCCACGGGCCACCCTTGTGTTCCCCAGTAGAGCGCTCCCCATAGGCCGCCCCTTTGTGCTCCCCAGTGCACCGCTCCCCACAGGCCGCCCCTTGTGCTCCCCGGGGCACCGCCCCCCACAGGCCGCCCCTCAGAGCACGGCCGAGGGCTCCGCTCACCTGGTCCACCCGTTCCAGGTCGGCCGCCAGCTGCGCCTTCAGCGTGCTGAGCGTGTTAACCGGTAGTGAGTCGAGGTCGGTCGCCGGACGCACCACGTGCAGCTCAGACCTGACGTCGGGTCAGGCCAGGTCAGACCAGGTCAGACCGCGGTACGCTAGCGCACGTCCGGGCCGACCGGAAACGGCGTGACAGTGCAGACATGTTAACAACTCAAGTGGCATCGGCCTACCGAGACGTAGTAAGTGGGATACAGAATGAGTAAATTCGGAAAGGGCAAGCTCGCGTCTGGCTATTATATATATATATATATATATATATATATATATATATATATATATATATATATATATATATATTATAATAACCGGCACCGGCTATTCGTCGGAGTGGCATGAACTCACCAATACAAAATAATAACGCCGCGAGGCGATCATGAAGCAGACAATGTGCCACGAACGCTGCACCGTCGAAACAGCCGGACGATCGGGTTAGTTTTCCAGCGGGCGCCCCACCAAATGACTCGGCCGCCAGAGTCGGTAAGTTCGCGGCGTCGCCCTCCCCGAGCAAGCGCCGCGGCGGCGGCGGCGGCGGCGGCGCACCTGATGGCGTCGATGTCGCGCTGCAGGGCGGCCAGCCGCCGCTGCGTTTCGTCGCGGCCCTGCTCGGCCCGCTTGGCGCGTAGCTTGTTCTCCTCGGCCTCGCGCTGCCAGGCCTCGCAGGCGGTGCGCGCCTGCAGCAGGCTCTCCTCCCACTGCACCAGCTTCAGCCGGTTCTGCGCCAGCTCCTCGCGCAGCCGCTGCACCTGCAGCGTGCGTGCGCGGCCGCTCAGCTCGGCGCTGGCCCGGCCAGCGACCGTCGCCGCTCCCGCCAGCGGGCCGGCCGGCACACAGACTCCGGCCGGCCAACGCCGCAACGGTCTACGCCACCAAACAAAACAGGCGACAGGACAACGGCGAATCCCACGCTTCTCCGACTCGCATGCATCATATGGCGCCACTTTACTATCACCCAAACCATACAAAACCCGACGTCATTTCTCCCGTTCCACAGCTGACAACCTAGCGCGATGAGTACTGCCAGTCCGTACAGCGCTGCCGTCTCCGGCACGTCGTCGGCGCCTGCCACGCCGAGCGCGGACTGCCGCCGCGCCCGCACCCACCTCGATGGCGCCGAAGCCGCCGCCTACCAGCGGACTCTGCGACATGATCGGTCCGCCGATGGCGCCCAGGCCGGGCTTGGTCGGACTGCCGCCGTACTCGAACAGGCTGCTGGACCCGTAGATGGAGTTGCTGCGGCCGAGCAGGCCCTGCCGGCGCCGCGCGGACGTCAGCGACAGGCGCGCGCGCACCGGGCGCGGGCGCGACGCTCCACAGCCACGGCACATAACCCACACACTGTCTGATCACAAGCCACATGCCTGATGGAACTGGAGGAGGCTGGGAAACGCGGAGGAGGACGGAGGGGGCACACAGGCAGACCAGCCGTGACGACAACCCACGCCGCGAGCGCAACGCTCCTCCGCGCGTTCCGCTGCGCCCGCGTCGAGACCCGGCCGCCGGCGCGGGCGCCCGCCGCCGCGCCGGGTTGCGCCGGGCCGCACCTGGTCGACGCTGCCGCCGGCGCGCTGGCCGAGCAGCGCCAGCCCGGAGAGCAGCGGCGAGCCGGCCGACGGCGAGAGGCCGGCCAGCCGCTCGCCCAGGCCCGAGCCGGGGATGTTGACCGGCGCCGAGGAGAGCGCGGCGCCCAGCGCCAGCTGCGACTCGCGCTCCTCGCGCTCCAGCTCGCGGTCGATCTGCGCCATCACGCCGTCGTCGGCCTCGCCGGCCGGGTCCAGCGACATCTGACCTGCGGCGGCGCCCGGCGCCCGTCAGCGGCCGCCGGCGTCGGGCCGACCGACACACGGCACAATCAACACGACCTCAGGCCGCCGAACATCATGGTGCAGTCATGCATGTGCGAACTTAACCATTTCCGCAGTAACAATCGCTCACAGAACGAAAATGCTAGAAAAAAGCGTGGGTATCCCCATATAACTGCAATGATTTAACATCGTGAGGACGCCCAGCGCTAGATGCGTACCACCCGGGGTCGTCACTTCCACAGACGGAGGCGGCGGCAGCTGGTCGCAGCTGGCCGCCACTTGATGGCGGCAGGCGCCATGCACGCGCCATACGCCAACGAGCTGAGCAGCTCCAGACGGCCGGTACCGCGGGTCAGGCCCACCAGAACACCCCCGGAGCTCGGGGTGAGGCTACACAGCGCACAGCCGCGCCGGACTCGGCCGGCGTAGGCTCACCCATCATGCCGTCGATGCTGTCCGGGGCGGCGTAGAGGCGCGGCCCGGCGGCGGCCGGCCCGCTCGACGACAGCGACACGCCCAGCGAGGCGAACAGGCTGTTCTTGCGGCGCAGCTTCTCCATGGGGTCCATGTGCGGGTCGGTGTCGATCTCGTGCAGCCGCCGGCGCAGCTGCGCCTGCGCACGCCGGCTCAGCGTCACGGCCGGCCCGGCGGCCACCACCGCGCATCGCGGCGCCGGCGCGGCGCTCCATGTCACAGCCACAGCCCGGCCGGCAGCCACCGCTTACACTCTGGCCCTGCTCGTTACGAGAAGCGTACCCCCGCGATACGACACTGAAAGCGCTCGGGTGTTCAACACTGGACACCGGCCCCACACCAGCCGGCACCGGCGGCGAGCACGCGCGCCCACACACCCGGCCGGCGCCACTTACGTCTTTGTCGCAGCGCTCGCTGCCAGGCGCCTTGGCGTAGCTGGCGGCGGCGGCGGCGGCTGCGGCCGGCGGGTGGCCAGCCAGAGCGGCGGCCGGCGACGCGTGAAACGGCAGCGGCTCGGCGACCGACGACGAGGGGCCGCTGAACGTGCGCGACTTGCCGTGCGCCGGCAGCGGACTGTTGTTGAGGTCCGACTGCCGGCCGAGGCGGAGGGAGGTCAGACTGTTGGCTGCGGTCAGAGGCGCGATCAGACGGCCCCGCTCGCCGAGGCGGAGGGGGGTCAGACTGCTGGCTGCGGCCAGAGGCGCGATCACACGGCCCCGCCCGCCGAGGCGGAGGGAGGTCAGACTGCTGGCTGCGGTCAGAGGCGCGATCACACGGCCCCGCCCGCCGAGGCGGAGGGAGGTCAGACTGCTGACTGCGGTCAGAGGCGCGATTAGGAGGCCCTGCCCGCCCAGGCGGAGGGAGGTCAGTCTGCTGACTGCGGTCAGAGGCGCGATCAGGAGGCCCCGCTCGCCGAGGCGGAGGGGGGTCAGACGCTGGCTGCGGTCAGAGGCGCCATCAGACGGCCCCGCCCGGCTGGGCCGCCTCGGACGGCCCTGTCGGGCGGACGCCACGCGCGGACGCTGAAACCTAGGCGGCGGACGGGTTACGTCCGAAGGCCACGCTGCCCGGACCTGGCAAAATGCACAGCTAGAGAGCCGCACCCGGCGCCGCCTGGAGCATCCCACCGGCTGTGAGCGGATGGGGAAATCCTCATGACTCGACCGTTCACCCCAGACCTACACACTCGCCGAGTTAAGCTCGAGCCACTGCCCCGACTGCGCCTGTCCTCCCGCCGGCAGTTGCGTTGCCTCGCCCGTGACCACGACGGCGTGCGGCGGCGCGCCCCACTGACCAGCGAGAGCCGGCCGTTGCGCTGCGGCTTGTGACCCGGCCCGTCGCCGTGGTCCGAGATCTTGCGCGCCGAGCCGCCCTCGTCCTGCGGCAGCGCCGACGACACGATGTCCGCCAGGCAGGTGAGGCCCGGCGCGCCCACCTCCCTGCTCGTCACCATCTCGTCTGCCGGGAGGTCAGGTCAGATCAGCACCTCCCCTGCCAGCAGGTCAGGCCAGATCAGCACCGCCCGTCTGCCGAGAGGTCAGATCGGGTCAGCACCTCCCATCTGCCGACAGCTCAGGCTAGATCAGCACATCCCCTGCCACCAGGTCAGGCCAGATCAGCACCGCCCATCTGCCGAGGGGTCACGTCAGATCAGCGCCTCCCGTGTGCCGACAGAACAGGTCAGATGTTATACCTTCAGCTCTAGCCGGCCGTCTATAGTCAGGCCAGGTCTCGCGGCTGGCCGGACGGCCGCCGGCCGTCCGGCCAGCGGCGCAGAGTCGCTTAAGATCGACCACAGAGAAGCAACCACGGCACACAGTCGGCCCACCCGACCCCTCCACACGGCTGCCGCCATTCAGTCCCAGTATGACACCGCCACCAGCTCGGGCCGTGGCCACCGACGGCGATCGTCCGCGCGCGCGCCCGGCAGCGCCACCCACCAGCCGGCGGCGCCACTCACTCTCGACGTGCGCGAAGGCGCAGAAGGCGGCGCGCGGGCAGTAGCCGTTCTGCTGCACGTCGTTGCAGCGCGTCGACTTGTAGATCTCCGGGTGGAACTGTTGCTCGGTGCGCGTGTGGCAGTACTGGCAGCCGTCGCCGTGCTCGCAGCTGTTCGGGTCGCCCCACTCGTCGCCCTGCTTCACGTTCGGGCACGGCGTGGACCTGTCCGGACCGGGGGACCTGTCAGCGCGGCACGGGGGGGGGGGGGGGGGGGAGGCGGCAACGGTCACCGGGCCGGCAGGGCCGTCGGCCGGTCCACGGTAGCACCGAAGGCGCGCCTCCTCGCGCCGACGGACGCGGTGAGTGACGCCCAGACGGGGTCCCACACCAGCCCCTCGCTTCTCGCTCCCGTGGCCGGCGGCGGCTTTGCGCTCTCCGCCGCTGGCGACCGTCGACCACCCGCCTCCGAGGCGCGTCACCGCCACGGTGACCGTCCCCCGGGCTGGGCGCCGCCCGGCCGGCCCTTCAACCCGCGCCGACGCTCATCAGCGTCCCGGACGGCGAGCCCCTCCGGCCCCCCACTCACCGGTATTTGTACTTTTTCGGCGAGCGCCGCTTGTCGCGCGGGTTGTGGAACTGCGGGCAGGCGTAGCCCTGGCGGCAGAGACGCGGCGGCTTCTTGCACGGCTCCGTCTTGTAGTTGGCCAGCACGTAGTTGGTGTCTGAAGCCGGCCCTCCGTCAGTGACGTTGGAACATAACACGTGACGGGCGTTGTCACGAGGCCGCGCGGAGAGCCGCGCGTGCCGGCGGTGGGCCGGGGGACAGGCTCAAAGACCTCACACGAAGACCGGCGGACAACACCCACCGACCACACGAGCGCTCGAATCGTGGCGAGGATCCCGGATGATGGCGAAAGCAGGCGGAGCGGAGGGACTAACGCAGCTCAAACGTGTATACATTTACGCGTTCACGGGCATCTGAGCCAAAATTCCCGACGAAGAGACGCCCAAACACAGACAGCAGCGACGGCCGCCGCTTTACTGGGCCTGTTCAGCGCAATGCACGGCAGCGGCGGCGGCGCCAAGGGGACGACCCAGGCGCCGGCGCCGGCCGCCTCGACCGCCAGCGCCACCCTCGGCGCGGGGGTCACTGACCCTGCCACTTGGGATCCTCGCTCATCATGTTGCGCTCCTTGTCCAGGCTGTTGGGACCGCTGCCGTTCACGTCCGTCTCCGGGTGGTCGATCATCTCCTGCTCCTTCTTGTCGTACACGGGCGGCCTGGCGGCGCCGGGACACGGCGTCGAACGCGGCTCACGCGGCTGGGGTGGGGGTGGGTGGGGGGGGGGGGGGGCGCGACACCGCGCGGCCACGCAGACGGCGGGGCCCGCGCCTCGCTCAGCCCGGCATGCCGTGACACCGGTCACACCGTATTTCCCCTTCGCCCTCCCTCCCCCACCATCACCAACGGACGCCAAGGTGAGGTCAATACTAAGACTAAACGACATCTCTCGCTGAGAGAGCATGCTGTGACAAGCCAATGCCTGGGATAACATTTAGCTATCCTGTCTTCCCATTACCAGTGCGATTTTCGGTAACACGAGGCGAGTAACTTTCCCAGGAATAGCACAATGACCTCGGCTCTGCATCGCGCGCCCCAGTCTTCTTACCTCAGATCGTTCTGACCATGAGCGAACGCGCAGTGCACGCCGTTCTTGACGCAGAGCCCTCTCGAGTCCGTGTCGTGCACACACATGCCCGTCTTGTAATAGCGCAGATGGTAGCGCCGCTCCGTGTCGCCCGCCGTGCGATGCAAGTTGGAACACCTGGCGATAGATGGCACCACTTTCAGTTGCAAGCCTGACTCGGCGCGGCGTGTCGCCGGATCATGTGACGCGAGTCTGGCCATGAGCACCGGCTGTGAAGGGGATCGCGGCCCGCGCCGTCGCCACCCGCCCGCCAGCAGCGCCGGCGCGTGATCTCCTCGCGCGGGGTCGTGCACCTCAAATCAGTCGCGGCATCGCCAACGGGACGGACGGCATCGGGCTGCACAGCACCTGCGTTGGTGCGCGAGAAAGGGGGAAAGGGAGAGGGCACAACGTGCATTGTGATGATGAGAGTATGCCGGAGAGACGCGACGCGGAAGACCGTTCCACAAACATCTGGAAACATACAAAACACGGCCCATAACGTACGGCGTCGTGCTAGAATAGCTAACACCGAGGATGCAAACATTGCTGACCCGCTGAACGGATATATCCCATTTCCGGTTCTCGGCGCACATCGACCATGATGTAGAAAGGCCGGCCACGGCAGGTGATTACAATATTCTACGGGGTAGTCCTACGCGAGGGAAGGGTCCCATTCTGCCTTCTTTGACATCCAAACACAGACGGTTAAACCAGCGGCTCATGTAAAAACGCCGTACACCAAACGATCAAAGCTTTTATAAGACGTAAGTATGCTGCATTGATACAGGGAATACTACTGCATCCAAAAAATCAATTTGATTTCCTTGATCATTAATCATCGACAGGTGTGAGGCATTAGACACTAATGCCCGCGCACACACTAGCCCATGACCAGCTAAATTATTTCGCGAGATTCAACCACAAACGCCAAAACTACGCAAAATCATAGACAGACCGTGTGGGATATTTCACCGAGGGAAATCACCAGCGGTGAGTTCGTACCCAATTAAGACAAGCACTATGACAGCTGGGGGCGGCAGCAGCCAGCGGCGGACAGCAGCAGCTCCCAGCACCAGGGCGGTGCGGACGACCAGTCTCGCTTCAGCGCACGCGCCGCTTCCGTCACCCTCCCCCTCCCCACCGCCCTGACGGCGGCCGATCAACAGCCGGCGGCGTGCGTCTGCCCTCCACGCACGCTGTCCCCTCCTGGGCCCAGGCCGGCGGCGGCATCCCTCCCCCTGCCGGACCGTGGCCGGCGGCGACACCTCACCCCTCCGCGGACCCCTCCCAGCCCGTGTCCGGCGGCGTCAGCTCACCCTTCTGCCCCCCCCCCCCCTCGGTGGCCGGCGCGCGGCAGGCCGGCCATCACGTGCCCCGGGTCGGCGACGGAGGCCGGCCGGGCCGGCGGCGGCTGGTCAAGACCGCGAGACACGGCCGCTCGGCGGCTGGTCAAGACCGCTAGACACGGCCGCTCGGAGGCGCCCAGCAGTCGCCGCCGGCACCGAGCATTGCCGCCACACACACAGAGCCCGTCTGGGGTCGCCCGCATGCAACCGGCCAACAAACAGGTAAGCATCTGGCGTCAACAAACAATCCCAACACGGCGGTGCAACGACGGTGGCGATCGCAGGCAACGGGTGGAGGAGGGGGCGGGGGTTCCCCGAGCTTCCCCTGCTGACATCAGTAGTCGCCATTTCCAGCGACACGGCTGGCATTTCCAGCGCGAGGCCGCCCTGCCCACGGACCGAAGAGCGGCATTCCGGAGAGTGCAGCGCTCATAATGGACAGCGCTGCGAGCGGGGGCGGCGGGAGTTCCGTGGCCCGGCGCGGCCGCCGCCGCCGCCGCCGGAGGCTCGACTCGGTCGCAGGTCCGGCGCCGCCGCCCGGCCGGACACTGTCACAGCCAGGGGGGCCGTGTACACACATACGAGCTGCTTTAGACCAGCTCGGCAAAAAACCGCCAGCAGGAAAACACGTCTTGTCGAACGAGGTTGTAGCGGCTTTCATGATTTCAAGACTCATGGAATATGGGGGCAGCTGGCCCGCCTCTGATGTGGTTTGAGCGGGAGCGACTTTGCTCGTGGCTCATCTGACCCGCCGCCTCATCAGTCAGGCAGTGATTCAGCTTTAGGCGTGGCTGTGGCCGTAACACCACAGTCAACAAGCATGGCACACAAAGTGGGCCCATCCGGGCTTCAAGCGAACTTCCTCATCCACGAAAACAGCTGACGCGGGTTTCGCTACACTCCCGTGCGCCGTCGCCCGTTACGAGCACGGCCCTGGCAGCCAGCTGGGCGGCGCCCTCTCCAGCGCCGGAGGGGTGTCAGACGGCCGGCGGGCACCCTCGCCGGTCGCCGGGGAAGGTCCGGCCCGCACGGCCACCGGCGACAGCGTGCTCCGGCATCCCCGCATGTCGCCGGACTCTGCGATCGAGCCGCCTCGACGGGCAGCGAGAACACCTGGGGCGGCAACTGTGCGACCGAGTCGTGATGCACATCGAGACAGCAACGTTTCGGAGATCGACTTGATCTAGATGTAGTCGATAGATTTAGATAGATAGAGCCGACTAGATCACTTGGCGCGTTCTAGTCGAGAGCGGGCGTCATGATTTCAGTATTTTTATCTTCCGTTTTGTTAAAAACGTTACACTTCTTAACTTTAGGTATGGGCGCGACATGACCTCCGTCGTCGGCGCGCCCTGAAACTCAAACCATCATCATTCTAGTTGAGACTAACACGGGGGCCATCAAGAAGCTATCAGGGTTTCATAAATAATCCGTGATGGGCCATCTGCCAGGAACACAGCGCCGCACCTGTGATGACGTCACGCCATCACGACATCAAGCCATCGGACGAGACAATGCGCACGTGTTTTTTTTCAATCGCCTGTCTGGTCGCTTGATCCGGTCGCATTCCGGGGCTCGAGTATGACCATTACGGCGCATCGAATGGATCGCAGTTATGCCCGTAAACCCAGTGTGTTGAATCCACACGGGACAGCGCTGTCCCGGTGGCAGCTTCAGGTAGCACCTGGGGCGATATTTCGGTGCCAGCTCTTACGTCGCGGCTAAGCAGCTGGCCTGTTACGCATGCAAGTGCTTGCAATTGCTTGCTCTGTTCATTCCTTCAAACTGCACTTACCACTCGACGAGCGGCACACGAAATACTTTGTGACGCGATATCGATAACGAAATTCCGTTCTTTTATTGGGTGCCGGTATGCGTGTCTACATATGCTGCCAAAAACGTTGCAAACGTCGGTACCCAGCACAGTATCACGTCATCATCGGCGAAAAATCCATCCAAGGACTCTCCCAAACCCTTGAAAGGAGACGAACACATATTTGGCCCCTACAATCTTAGAGGAGACAATGGCTCGTTTATTTTGCGGGATATCTTTGTACCTGGCGAACCACCTTAAGGACGTAACAAGGACCATTTCCTCAAGTGCATTCGCATCGTAAATTCAATTTTTCCCTTCGTGAGCAAGCGTGACTGTGCGCGGCTGCCCACACTAGCCACAACCTCAGACACGGCGGGATGAAGCACACTGACGCGTTCTGCACACCATTGCACCGAACTCACACAAGTCCTCTTAGACCGACGCCAGCGCAGTCGACGGCACAAACTCCCCCCATGGGCGCCAGGTGTGCGCTCCCACCGCCCATCCCAACTTTGCCACAGAGTCGGCGGCAGCGGCGCGCGCAATACGGAATGCGCGTTGGCGCGGCGCGCGCAAAACGGCCGGCCACTCGGGGCGCCGCTGGTGTATGCGTATCTCAGGCGGTGCGATGGCACAGCAGGGCGGAGCGGACCCAGCTGGTGCGAGCACCGACGCAAAGCAACGCCTGACGGGGGGCCTCCCAGCGGCGTGACCACCCGCGTAGTGGCGGGCCAATCAGTTCAGGACGGGCCACTGACGACCCGACTCGATCTCGTCTAGCTCCAAACAGTGCTCTTAATTTGCCACAGGAGTCCCATGCTTTCCACGGACGCCAGCGTCCGAGAGAAGGCATCTTTCCAGAGCAAGCTTTCCAGCTGCTCCGGAGTGAAACGTGGCGCGGCCTTGCTCGGATGCCTGTTCATGAAATGGCCTCGCCGCTAAGCTTTTACCTATTCGATTTAAAATCGCGCACCTAAACTGCCAAATGGCAGGACAAGTCTAGAGGAGACAGAATTTGTACATCCATTTCCTATGACACCTTTTTGGCCACATACTTTTCAACACTTTTACATGTAAGGACTGGTTAAAGACCACCATGACCATCGTCGTTGCAGCGGGGTTCTTCCTCTTTGTCAGTAATTCTGCTGCCGTGCTGACCCTGCACGGTAATGATGTCCTAAAATTTCCAGATGTCGCTCCGATAGACTCGAGCATGCGACAAGCTCTGTCACGCTGAGAAGTAAGAAAGCAGTAAGCATGATGTACTAGTAGTGTATCGGTTGCCGCGTCTGCGTTAACCTCTGCGCGTCTGGGAAACCAGAGGTACGGGGTTTGATTCCCCGCGGTGCCCACCCTTCCCGCCAGGATGAGAGGCAGGCGACGCCACACAGCCTCAGCGGCTGAATGCGTCGTAAGTCCCAACGACACACACACACAGAGCGGTAGACATGGCTGTGTCAAATGTGCCGCGACTCTCCGCCCCAGTGAGACGTCACCGCCCAGCCGAGGCCGTCCAGCCGGTGACGGCATGTTCAACAAAATCCACCAATCGGCAGCGTGCATTATCAGACCAGCAGGGGGGCTTATGCTGGACCGGAACAAACACGTCACCCGCTGCAAGCCTTAGTCCAAATAACGTCGCAGCAGTGTACGGAAAGATAGTCACGTTCAGTTGTTCATGGCTGGAAATGAAAAGAAGTGGGGTTGGGGCCTGTAGCGCTTGTGACCGCTCCTATGTGGAAAGGTGTCCAGACTTTGCTAAGTGCCCATGAGCCTCAGAATGTCCCCTTAAAGGCGCTGAGGAATTATTCTGCAGCGCTTTTAGTCAGAACAACAAACGCATAAGATGGATGGAGTGTGCTCATAGAGCAACACTGCAAACTTCACCCAAAAGGGTGTGCAGTAGGTAAATATAAATTCATGCTACCAAAACTCTAGCTCTTCCGTGACCTTCGTCCGCACATCTCGTTCACTGCTCATCCCGGTTACCCTGAACACGAACCCTGACATCCGACCGGCCCGGCCGAGCGGCCGAGCCCAAGGCGCCCACATGCCAGGTTGCCTGCCGCTAAGTTTGGCGCTGATTGCCGATCCACAGCGGGGAGGGTTAACAAGCAGTACACCCCGAGCCCCGCAAACAGTAAACTGGGAGAGATAGTACGAAAAATGGTGACATCCTTGTCACCCAAGAAGCTGAATATGGAAACAGTCACAGAAGTCGCGCGAATTTCAAACACGTCCCAGCAACTGCTGGCGACACTTGGAATCACCTGGGCTGGAACCAATGCTATGGCATATCCAATATAAATATATTGTTGCTGTGTGTGCCATTAAGCTCAATATGACCAAACCAATATAAAAGTGGTGTCTCCAGGCTTCAGATCAGATTTTGTCACGTCCTTTGCATGTGATGCCCAGTCTCCCATGCTTGAGGACACTGCCAGCATGGTTGCTTAAACAGTTGTTTTTGAGATCCTACAGGTCTTCGGACCTAACCCTGAAGTCATTAATTGGTTTAACTGAGCTAAGTAAAGGGCTGCAAGTCTGGAGACATGACACCATCACATGACAGGATATTTTTGCTTCAAATCCAAGGCTTTTCACAACCATCACCAGGTTAAGAGGTCCTGTGCTACACAAAGACTCATACTCTTTAAAGGAGCTTTGAAGCACGGCTTTGCTCAAACCATCTTTGTGCAAAGCTGCACTTATCAACCTCTACAGCACAATGTTCTTGAATGTCATTGCGTTTGCTTTCACTCAAGCTTTAAAGGCAGTTGTGTCCAACTGAACATTAGTACCCATCATTATTTAACATTTTGACCTTTTTAAATGGAGAACATGACAGCATCCATAGTATACCAGAGGTGTTACAAATACAAATTAAGCAAAAGTCCCACAGCATGGACATTGCTTGGTCTAATCAACAGGGAAAGACTGGCTGGCACCAGGCCAATGAGGGTTGCCCAGTCCATGATGGCCATGTCATAGTTGCAACACTGTCTCTCACCTAACTGTCTACATCTCTATTTCACAAAAATGTCATAGGCAAAATAATGTGAGTTTACTGAGCCATCAGTCTAGCATGGTGGGTTCCTGGCACATGCACCAGCCTCTGCTTAGCAAATATTACAAACCCACGAAACCCATCCAAACTATTTCAAATTGGCGACAAATGCCATAATTGGCTAATACCCTGCACCACTGAGCAGCCTGGACCAATAAAATGTTATGACCTGTTTTTATCAGGAAGCTCTATTGTTCACTAACCAGAATTATGAGGACTTAATATTAAGTCAGATTCCATCTTGTGACATAACCAATGTTACAGATGCAACTTGATGTTCCTGCAGATAATATGTGAATAGGATATATCAGGGGAGTAAAAATGGCCATACCCATGATAAATGACATAGCAATACATGCCTGAGACATGAATGCTACCAAAAGCTTACTGGCCATGAGAGGGAGGATGTAGCCTAGGGAAGATTCCATACACACAGCCTGTTTACTTTAAAATAATCCCAGCCCAGTTAAAACTATGATGCTGGAAGAATCTTATGAGGCATGATGACATCACAAATGGCTTGCACAGTAATATAGCATGCATAAGCAAATCAATATTTTGGGGCATATAATACTGAGCAGCAGCAACTGGACATATTCAGCAAAAGCTTGACTTCCTGACAGTATGCAGATAAACATGCCACTTTCAATGGGCCAGCAACCATTCAGGAAATCATATGGGCTTCATAAAGAGCATGATTTACCAAAGTATTTCAAGAGCATATTGTCCTTGAAAAAACAGGGAACCATCTCAGACTATCAACTAATCTATCTAAACATATAAAAAACTTTGAAAATTCCAAAACAGCATCTCAGAAATTACACAGGGAATGTTAAAAGTGACAGGCCAGGGTTGAACAACCAACCTCTAAAAAAACACACTTCATCTATATTGAGCACCCTGCTATTGCTCACTACAATTAAAGGCCTGTCTGAATATCCAAGAATAACCATTCCCTTAGAGCACACAACTAATCATATTTTAAAACAAATTATAGAAATGTGACAACTGATGGAATATAAGCCATGTGCCTAAGAATTATGCAATTTACAACAAAATATCAACCTTGTTATACCATAAGGAAGCATTGACTTCAAAAATGGTTTAATATCCCACATTCCAGAAATGTCCCTGGTCCTATTTTAGCAAGAAGCTTGCATCAATCATTTGACAACAGAGTACCCCCAGTAACAATGGTCTTTCTCCACACCTACATACACGCCTGAAACAGAAATTACCCAAGCTAGTCTCCCTCCTTGGTTGCAATGTTTACTTACTCTTCCCCATCTGGACATTCTCCAGTGGATTCGTCATACTTCGTGCAGTACACATCAGGACTGTAGTTGAAGGCTCCATCACGACGGAGGATGGGACGCCTTCGACGCTGGTTTTTGAAGTGCCAATGAAAGCACGTGTATGGCCGGTGCTGATTGCACTTGTGTTGCTGGAAGAGCGGACATTGTTCCACGCGAAAATCCTTCAAGTATCTGAAACGGGGGACAGATGAGTGGAAATTAGCGATTCTGACCATAAAATATACACTCGTATATCATGGCAAATTCAATTGAACTAAAATCAATGCATACTTACGACGAATGTAACGTTTTTTCCGAAAAATGCGCCGTTTTCCCCTCCGCACGCATCTTCACAACAACGGCGACTACTGCGCAGCGCGTCTGCGCAGAGTCTAGTCGATGGACTGCGCGCTGATTGGTCAATAGGAAGGAGAGGGTTGTGACGTCTGCACTACGAGAAGGTCAAATTTACGCACGCTGGGGCGCCGTTGGGGTAGCGTACGCCGCGTCGTTGGTTGATGCTATACACGGGTTTTTGTCCACAGATTGATGGATGGACGGCATGGTGGGAAAATAGACCAGTCATAATCTCGGGGCAAATGCGGACGGGCGTAAGCTGGATCAGTGTTTAAATTCAGTCCTGCAGATCTAGCCTCGTCGGTGAATAGAGGGCTACCATCAGCGTTGCTGTATTGATCCACAACGGGCGCTGCGGCCCGGAGCGGAGCGGCAGAAAATGAATGAAAGTCCGTTCTTTGTTCTCAAGGCAAAACATTCGCATGGAGAGCGCTTGAGCGCGTGAACCACACCACCGCAGAACGGCGCGCGTAGCGTCCGGGCACAAAGTCGGACAAAAAAAAAACGACAGCAAAAAAACAACAAAAAACAGTCGATTGGGAAAAAGTTGAACAAAAAGTCTTGTAGAATGAAAGCGGAATAGGAAACGTTAGTCTAATCGGAAAATTCGGACAACGAAAAGTCGACAGGGATGTAAGTCGAATGGGGAAAAAGTCAAAGGACAACTAGTCAACATGGTTAAAGGTCGAATTGCAGGGACTCGCATTGAAAAAGTGAAATAAAAAAGTTTTAAGACTCCATTTAGATAGGGTTCTTAGTCGACAGTGATAAGCCAAAAAACAAAAGTCCAAAGGCGATAACTCCAAAGCATAATAATCGCAGGAAGTCCACGTAACACTGCTGAGTGCTTATGATGATAGTAATGACACACTCATATTCACAAGCGCAGCTTATAACCTCATGTGCCAACGATATAATCAATTTTTTCTCTACTGCATCGCTGTACCTCTCGATGTATTGAGGATTGATATTACGGCGTTGGAACTCTGAACTCACAATGCCGAACACATGGGTGTAGTTTCCTATTCAGTGTGGGGGGGGGGGGGGGAGGGAAGGCTGCACCCCTCACCAATAACCAGGAACTTTAAGGTTTCCCTCCAGCTGAAGCCAATCACAATAGTTTCATGTGTGGAGCGGGTCAACACGATGTGATTACTTTTATGGTTTCATAACGCACACGCGGGCTCATTGCCGACACAGTCGCATATCACGCGCCGCCCGCTGTCCTGCTGCCTCCCTGTGGTTCCCCGCCCCTCCCTCTCCCTTGAGAAGAACGCCGGAGAGACCGAGGCCGTGCGCCGCCACGCAGCCGGCGAAAGCCAGGTGATGTCGCAAAACAGTTGAAAGCTTTATTTTGGGGTCGCGTTCAGGCCATTAGGTAGCAGCTTTCCCGAAAACCACCTTAAAATCTGTCTAGTCCCGATCTACCCCGTTCTATAGCGTCATGCGCCGTCTCGCACTGGCTGGTCTCGTTCTGTTCCGTCTGGTTCCGTCAGAATTTTCCTGGTTTTGTCTAGTCCCGGCTGATCTCGTTCTGTTCCGTCCGGTTCCGTCAGAATTCGCCTGGCTCCGTCTAGTCCCGGCTGGTCCCGTTCTGTCCCGTCCGGTTCCCTTCGACCACGTCTGGTGCCGCCTGATACTGTCTGATTACGTCCGTTCAGGTGTGGTCTCGTCTGGTGCCGTCCGGCTCGGTCCAGTCCACTCCCATCTGGTCCCACCTGGTCTCGTCCGGTTCCATCTGATCCGATCCCATCTCGTCTGTTTTCGCCCGGCGTGATCTGGTCCCGTCCCGTCCCCTTTGGTATCATCTGGTCCTGTCCGATCCCGCCCACTCCGCTCCCGTCCCATCTAGCCTCATCCAGTTCCATCTGTTTCTCCATGGCTAAAACTCAACATCATCGACATCCACTCATCCATTCATCATGCTCATCCTCCGCTCATACCCCACGTCAAATCCTTATGACCTTTCTATTTGAGATAATTTTGACTTCTAGCATTTTGCACTTCCATATTGACCTTTATCCCTGCCGAGGTTGTGCTTTCGGCTCGTTACGTGTCCACTTTGGTCTCCGTCGAAGTCTTGTCCTTTGGAGCTTCTCCTGTTCGTCTGCTATCCCTGTCGACTTGCATTTCTTTTGATTTTTGTGCTTCGACTTTTCCCAATTTGACCATTGTGCCTGTCGAGTTTCCTCACTTCCGACTTTTTTCATTCAGCCTTTTCCACTCGTCTATTTGTTCGGGAAAAGAGGCGGCCATTGCTGGAGCTTCGTAAACAGCTTCTTTTTTTTGGGGGGGGGGGGGGAGGGCGAGGCGAAACACATCTTCCAAATGGAGAGAAGTCTTACATTCCCACTGGGTCACATTTAAAATGCTTTTAACAAAAGGTTTGACGAGTTATTAGTGGCCCGGCTAAGCATGGGGGTCATCACCCCTCCGTCAACATGGTGACGAGGTGAATCCGAATTTGGCAAGGGTATGCAACAGTTTCCGATGGTCTCTTTTCCCTCAAGACCACCATGGATTTTAAGGGGCACCCACTACCTTTGCCATGAATGTGAGGTCAGGGAAAAAGTTGCTCTGACAGGGGTGGTGAGACTCAGTTGTTCAGAGCGTTGGCAAAATTTGGTGATGCGCTGGTCACTGGTCCGAATCTAATGAGATTGCTGGTGTTCCACTATTTCGCTGCTGAAATCCGCTAAAATCGTCGTTAACTGTTAAGATTGTCATAGGAGATTGCGGTATTAATGACCGCAGATTTTGCGTGCGTCTAATAACAAGCCAAACATTATTATCACTGTTTACTGATAAACAACACGCTATAATTGTATGCATTTGTTATTGTTCTCTGCTTGTGAGCCAATTGAATCCGTCTGAAATTTCTAGCGGTCTCGGACTGGAACGCTGGGTTTGTTCAAGTTTTTAAACCGTACTGGTATGTGTCTTGGCCTAAGGGCAACACTTAATATAATTTTGGAGACCATCCCGCAATGCTGACTTGAGTCCCCCGATCAGGGCTGGAGATCGCTCTCGGGAAGTGATGGGCCCCATGATCCTCCTGTTCGGTGTTGGTGGTCTCTGGCCGAAATGGAGGCCCACACTGTTCCGGGGGTCCCCAATCGATGCAAGAGGCCCCCTGACTGACACTTAAGGCCAAGGTCCGTGAAGCGGGAGGGCATCCTTAGTGTGACCTTCAGCCAAGGTCACATTAGGGTGGCTGAAGGACCTTTTCGGGTCCTTCAGCCACCCAGTCGGGCCCTTGATCTTTGGTACCGAGGGATCCTGCAGCCTTCTTAGGACCTCCCCAAACAAAGCCGCTGGCCGGCAAGGGGTCGACTACAACGGCTAGTCGACACATGACCCCCTGATAGGCATTGTGACCCCTGACCGACACAGGGGCCCAACCATTGTTTCAGCGACCCAGACCAATGCATGTCTTACCCCCGGCCTTGCTCCTGCGTGGGAAATAGAACCCTAAGGTTCAGACTGACAGGGAGCCAACTGTTTGGTGTTCGTGGTCTCCGGCCGACTCAGACACCCGCATCGTCTCAGGGGTCCTCAAAAGGTGCAAGAGAACCTTTGACTGATATTTCAGAACACGATCCTGCGAGTCACGATTCCTTATGTGACCTAAGACCAGTCCCTCAGGCCTTTATGTCCTCCAACCGGGACCTCGATCGTCGGTTCCGTTGGACCGCCCAGATCTGTCTTCGGGTCTCTCCGCACGCTTCCCTTGGTCGGCTCGGGGCCCTTTGCGAGCAAAGTACCCTTTGTTAGGCTCTGTGGGCCTCTGACAGATACGGGGGCCCCGACCATTGTAAATAGTTGGCCCCGGCTTTGTCGCTGCTTGGGAAGTGGTCTCTCAGGCCTATACCAACACAGAGCCGATTGTGTGGTACTGGTGTTGTCTCATCACCATGCAGGCCAATATCGAGTTAGAGGGTCTTCGATCGGAGCAAAGGGCCCTCTGACTGTCATCTGAGGGTCCGTCTCGCAAACCAGGACCCCTGAATAGGACTCCGACCAGCCCTTCGCGCCCTTAGACCTTCTAATCGGGCCCTTGATCGTCGGACCCGGCGGGCCCTCCAGGCTCTTCGAGCCTCCTCGAACATACGAGCGGGATGACGTGACATTTTTTATCCCAGCCCACGTGCATCAGCTAGTTGATGTCAGTAGCGCAGGCAGGAGAGGGAGGCAAAGGGGCACTAAGAAACTACCCCCGTCCCTAGGATTCCAAGGGCCGTTCGGGCCAATCGGAACCCACAATTAAGGGCCCGATTTGAGTGCCCGAAGGGCCCTAGAGGCCGGCCGGAGGTCGCACTCAGGGGCTCCGGCCCGCAGGGCCGGGCACTCAAATGCCAGCCGACTCCCTGCGGCGATTCTGCGACCTGACCCCCTGCGGTGATCACGGATGTTGTGTCCGTCAGGGCTCCTGCGTCAAGCCAGGATGCGCGGGGCGGCATCAGAAGGCCTCCCGCGTCAGGGAGCGGACCAATGCGATGTGATGTATCCATTCGGGGGCTTTCAGATCGGTAAGGGATCCCGCCCCGTGTCGCCATAATAGCAGCCGGAGGACACCTCGTGATGGGACAGATGTAGCGGCGGACCATGCCCCGGGTCAGTGTGCCGGACAGTCGCTCGCGGATCGTGTTGCGGGGATGAGCCTTGGAAGGAGTACGAAAGGTGCTGCTCGGGCGCGTGGGTTGAGTCTATCCCTGTCGGCGTTGCGTGCGGCAGCTCGCCGTTGTGTGTGGGGTGGTCCAGCCGACATGTGATCTCGAATAGAACAGAATGGCCTTCAGCCCTTTTGGCCCCAACGTTTGCACGAGAACGTTCATTTTTTTTCTTTGCAGAATCGACTAGTGAAACAAGCTTCATCAAAAGGTTTGAGCCTGCGCGCACACAATTTCGGGAGCAAGGACAGCAATGGCCTTGGTTGCAGTTTCCGTACAATCGAGCGGCGTTGGACATTGCAATTAACTCCAGACAGCGTAGGCCTTGCGCATAAGAACGACC